ATTAAATAAATAAATAAATAAATAAATAAATAAATAATAAATAAATAAATAAATAAATAAATAAATAAATAAATAAATAAATAAATAAATAAATAAATAAGTAAATAAATAAATAAATAAATAAATAAATAAATAAATAAATAAATAAATAAATAAATAAATAAATAAACAAATAAATAAATCAATCAATCAATGAATAAAATACAGTGATTGGATATGGAAAATGAGATTTATTTTGAGTATGGTTACAATTTAAGTAAATCTTACGCTTATGTCATTTGTTGATAAAACACCGATTAAGTGACTAAAACAATAGAATCACCTGACTCGGTGTTTTTTGTTTCTTCTCTCAAGTACCTTATTGTGTTAGACATTTGTCGTTATTTTATTTTTGTCGGCATTTTTTCTTTTATTTGTCGGCAATTTTGTCTTCTTAACCGTCGTTCCAGTTTTACATATTTTTTTTTCAAAATCATCTGTTGTAGATATAAAACTGCGACAACAACAACAAAAAAAAACACGAGCACCAACAGCAATGTCAACAAAATCTCCCAGTTGAAAAATGTGCGCCCCAACCCCTCTCTCAGTTAAACTAAAAGTGGACATTTGCGCCCCCAACTCCTCCCCAAGTCAATTTATGATTTATATTTGACTATATACCTATTTGAAGAACTATGCCAGCTTTGAATGATTTTTCCTTTTTAATTGGTGTGTGTTTGTGTGTTTGTGTGTGTGTGTGTGTGGGGGGGGGGGGTAATGTCCAATGTTCTATGTCTTTGGCACGAAAGGGGGTGGCAATATACCAATCAAATTTTCTATAGGAAAAAAAAGATATTTATATGATATTAAGATCCGATATCTTCACAAAACATATAGTGAAATAAGGTCTGACATACTAGTATTGGCAAGTATACGGATATTTTTCCCCCGGACATGTGCACCCACTTTAAAAGTACACCATTGAACATTTGTCCCCTCCCCTAGAGGAAATATCTACTACAACATCAAATTTTGTCCCACACCATTAGAAAAAAATATGTACAAAAAAAGAAACACAGTCAAACTAAACATATTTATTTAAGTATGACTATATTAAAAATGTGCAAAATATGTTGAAAATTCAGCCAACATTTAATGCATTAGATCAAATACATTTTAACAGGGGATGGGGTAGGCAAGTATCCAAGGATACATTTTAAGACTTGTAGCAAATGTCCTTCGGGTAGGGGTAGCGGGGGAGGGTTCAAATGATTCACTAGGTATGTGAACAGATGTGAAATTAAGTCCCATACCATAAGGAAGTGAGACGCAGCATCTATTTATAATGTGAATATAGTCTGTAATATTTTAGTGACACAAAATTACAAAATGGTTATTCATCTCGACACTCTCTTTTAGAAAAAAATAATGAAATATTAAAGGAACTCCACTGAGGTCCAAAAGCCTAGAAATATAAAATTTGAATTTCTTACATTGATCGCCTGGGGCACTTAAAACAGAAAAATTTGCAAAAGATTATTTAGAAATATATCTAGAAATATATTGAAAATTGTATTTTTATGATATTCTGATCCCGATTCGAATGAAAAGCGTTGCAACGCTTATCAATTTCGTGTCATTTTTCACAATTAGAATTATTATTCTGGAAAAACGGAGTGAGCGAATGATCTCAAATTTTGCACATAAGTTATTGGTAGAGACCAACAGATAGAACATTAATTTCGAAAAAATATTTCCAGTCCCGTCATGTCAAAGACCTCAGTGGAGTCCCTTTAAAATGGTTATGAAGAAAAGTCTATACTGCCTGGAACCGTCTTTAATTTTGGTTATACGCACAAAAATTTTCTCGCGGTGTATACGCCGTGCTGTATGTATATTGACCTGATATTTTTAATCATATATTTGCAAATATTACGAAATCTAAGTACGCGTTCTTCAATAATCTAAATTTTTGACAAAAAATGTGTAGACACTTTCACATGATTACAATTTGCTATACGAACAATGACAAATTTTTCAACACAGGATAAATATTAAGGAGCTTACTCATGTGTAGTTATTAGTAATATCCCCGAGACAAAAAATGCAGCGAACAATAGGCCTACAAGTGTGCTCATTTCATAATACAGAAGTGAGTTGTGTGAGGGAAATACGGAAAAAAATAAAGTTTAATTGATCGAGTAATAGCTGTATTTAACAACCACTGTATATGAGTAGTTAGTGCACGGGAGGCGGAAAATTACTGGTTCATTATTAAATTTATGTCATAAGAGTCTATCTAGTGTTAATAATCCATTTCATTTCTCTATATTCTTATTTAGAGCTACTGTTTTAAGTTGAAAGTAGCAAAATTCCCCTTTTGTTTTCTCGTTGATAATATGTAAACACGAAAGTGACAAAAATCCCTTCTTTTTTTCGTTACATTTTGTAATCTGATACGAATTACCAGATTTGATTTAACATGTATGTTGTTTTATCAAAATATAAATAAATATGTATGTGCTTTCGCTAAAATATTAGGATATTTAAAACTAATAGCGGTATGTAAAACATAAATTATTATCATTATTATTATTATTATTATTATTATTATTATTATTATTATTATTATTATTATTATTATTTCTTACATAGATCAACTAGGGCATTTAAAATAGAAAGATATACAAAGGATAATTAAGAAATATACTCAGGAATAAATTGAAAAATCATATATTTGTGCATATTTCTTCGTCCGATTTGAGAGAAAAGCGAACGCTTTTCTGCTTTGGGTCCGTTTTCACAATTAGAATAATTATTCTGAAAAACCTGAGCGAACGAATGATCTGATTTTTTAGTCCATAACTACATCAAATGGAACATTAATCTTGCAAAATCATCGCCAGTCCCGTTATTTGAAAAGCGTTGTAATGCTTTTCTGTTTTGGGTCCGTTTTCACAATTAGAATAATTATTCTGGAAAAACAAAATAAAAAAAAACAGTGGAGACCCATTTATTATACAAATATTGACTAACAAGAGGGAATTATATATAACTGAATGGTGTGGGGACCGGCGGACCGGCGGTGGGAAGAGTCCGTATGTTTAAAGATTGGAAGCATGAACGACGTACTGATGATGATTAACAAAAAGGACATATTTAGTATATATCCAAACATAGGAACGGTGCACTTTTTGTAGTAAAAAAGAACGGTCAATTTATTCGAATTTTAACAGGGTGAAATGAATCAAACCAATAGTTGTATGTATAGTTGAGTACAATAAAAAAATCAAACAGTTTACAGGAAAAAAAACATGACTGTATGATAATTAAAATCATATAATTATAGTAACTGATCAAATCTGAGGAATATCATCTTGCTATGTCTTAATAAGTTACCGAGCGTTCTGTCGTACTTTAATTTACAAAACCTGTAACATCATCATCATCAACAACAACAGCAAAGAGCGCATTAAAACTCGAGCATTTCAAACGAATTTCTTCAATAAAGGAACAGAAAATGAGACAAATATGTATCATGTATAGATTAAAATGAAGTTTTGATTCATGGTGTACTTAGATTAAAAAATATTTAATCATTCTGACTGGACAATATTTCAAGCATGCCATTAATGCTTGATCGTACTTTTGAAAATAATCGTCAGTATAACATATCGTCAATAAATGTTATCGTAAATATGAGACATATCGTCTATAAAATGTATCGCCGTCTGTAATAAGATAAGTATCGTCAATAAAAGATAACGTCAATGATTGATTTTAGATATCGTGAATATAATTTACCGGCAACGATTTATCGTGAATGCACTATTAGTTATCAATGTACGATATATCGTCGAATATCGTCAATGGAAAAAAATAATCCTGTACAATAGATCAAATTGTCATTGACTCACCGTTTAATTATAAGGTTCTTAGTTTCAATATTCACATCTGCGGATGTTTTTGTAAATTCTTGATTTTTGCAGGTTCTACTATAATTAAGATGTTGGAATCCTGCTTAAGTCGATGATAGGGGTTTTAAGTGTGACGGTAGCTAGTATTTTAGATATCAACCGAGAATTTGCGGCATTTCAATTTTACAGTTTTGAATGATCTTTTTGTGAGTTTGACTTACCTTTTTTTTACCAAATAATAATTTATTATAGATCTTTAAAAGTCGACAAAATTGTCATATGCACGTATAAAGATATGTTACAAAACATGTTTTTACCTATCAATCACAACATTACAGAAAATAACCGTTTGCATGTCGATATATAATTATGTTGTAAGAACTGGTGTTTCAGCATGTACATTAATTGTGTCTTCATATTATGATCATAAACTGTTATAATTATATGCTGAAATATGCAAATATAACAAAAGAAATGATTTTTGATTTATAATTTAAACGGATTTATAATAGCTAATATAAAAGTCCGTATCTATATTAATTAGTACGAGTATTATCACCAAACCGCTGCCTTTTACCATAAGATGAAAATGAAATTTTGCGGTGGAATTGGTTTAGTAAAATCAGTATTGGATTAGAAAAAAGAGGATAAAGTTGACTTGTGATTTTAATGAGAAAAAATGTCAATATACTATGTGTAAAGTATTTCTTTTTCAATTAATCATTCCAAGACAAAATTTTTATTTTCATTACATTAGTTACCTGGATATCAACAAGGCAGGTGATGGATTTTAATGATTAATTCATTTTTTTTCGACATTTTTGGGCTTGTTTAAACCGGACAATTTTATTCTTATTTATTTAATCAAATTCTCAGCTCCTTTTCAAGTAATGCTATTATATAATACTCTACAAGACGGTCCATTTTGCAGAAATAAAAACGGACTAAAACGCCGCAAAACAGACGCGAAATAGTGACTATATACAACAAACTATAACAAAATGAAAATGTGTTTTGTGTAGATTAAATTCTATTCCAAGAACACTTGACACTAAATTATTACATAGGTCAACATATAATGGCTTAAAACAAAACACAACTCACCATGCGTCCGAATTTAAGCCCCAAATGACCCTTTTTGCGTGTCCGTGCGCCAAAATAAGTTCCAAAAATGAATGAAAATTACACGTTGCAGCTTTACCGTAGCTCCTATCCTTGAATAATGTCGATTTTAAAGTAAAATTATTGAAAAATAATCACTTCACTGAACTAATGGTGGACGATTAGGCATTCATAATCTTAATGAATTAATATCGTCCCTGCATACACTGCGCATGCGCGATGATTATAAAAAAACAACTACTCCAGCTAACATTCACAGGATTGTATAGGGAGACGATTTACTTACGTGGATTTGCGTTGTTGGATTTTTTCTCCTCAAAGCATGCCGTATAATTTGGTTCGATGTCTCTTTAATACCAAAAACACTATAAGACAATGCTAGTTTTAGTTTCATACACATATACATGTCTTGCTAAACTTTTTTAGGAAACCAGAGTAAAAAAATCAAAGTGCTGTTACTTAATACTCATTCAGTCAAGTGATGGGGTTTTTCTAAACACCCTAAATCTCTCAAATTACCTAAGGAGGCTAGAGTTGGTTCTTTTCTGTTCCTCTTCCGTGTCCATGGTCCAAAATCTCACAGAATGCAACCAAGAGGCAGCCATTCGGTACAACTCACTTATGACAGCGTACATAGTTTGCGAATAAACAGATAAACTTATCATTAATACAGATGTGAATGTTTAACGTTATACTTCATATTTGGTCAATTTTAGAGTACTGCACATCTTGAATTCGCTTGATGAAAATTGTAGTTGATCTGGATATGTCACTTCACAAGCAATATACAGGCACCACTGCCACATGTGATAAAACATACTGGTTCCTCAAATAAGAATTTTACTAAAATGAAGTGAAAAAACTTTGATAACAAACTGGGGATGTGTTGTGGGGAAATAACATGCAATATTTTAGCAGATAATTATGTTCCGTTATATAAATTTGATGTTAGAAAGTTATATGACGTTCACGAGGAAACGGTAGGGTAGGCAGGCTGTGGTGCCGATGCTTGTTAAAGTTAAATAATGTTTATTTAAAGTACAGACAGACACATTCTTTTTTCACCATAAGCCAAGAGACAATATATCCATAATAATTATCATTGACTAATTTACGGGCCATTCTAAAAGAGAGTCCGATCATTTATACAAATATTATTAGTGAAAATTGCGCACTCATATTGAGAATATAGAAAAAAAATCAAAACTTTTAAGCTCCCTAGCACCGGCTTAGCAAAATTTTAATGTACGAGAATCAATGATCCAGGAAATTTCCCACTACAAAGTTCTGGTAGAGTGCTGGTATCTTAACTTCAATCTTTGGATTGGTTTACTTAAATGGTGGGTACGAATACCGATCATTGAAATGTTCTGCTGCACTGATACGCTAATCAATCACGTGTTTATTTTTTGAAGAGTGGTCGATATATGTCTGAAAGAAGTAAAGAACGACGTAAACGTATTTATTGACGTTGACGTCGTTTGGATATTTGATACGACAATCGTACCGTTACGTATCGGATCAACTTACCTCACTTACTATAAAACCACCTAGTAACGATTATGTCAGGGGGCCGGTTACATAATTTTATGGTAAAGTTGTATTTATAAATTCCATTTGTATCTCATCTTTCTGTTGGTCTAAAGTTAATTAACTCTTACTGGTTTCTTTTGTTATTTATTTTCTCCTAGCTGAAATTTTGCGTTGAATGTTCAGTTTGAACATATAAGTTTAAATGTCAGTTTTTATGAGGCCTTGTCCGAACATGTGTTAACTGTTCAGAAGTCAGTCAGTTCTTTCACGTTTCAGGGTCAAAATCTTTGCCCATTGCCTTCCCAAAATACATCCACTAACTCTCCGTCTTAGCAAATAGTTATTTTTATATACTGCCTCGACAAAACTAATTGCTATAAAAATTATGAATTTTACATAGCATCTTCGGTCATTTTTTTCTATTTTGTTTGTATCACCATTTGTAGATATATGAATCACAGGGACCATACGGTTATAAAGATATCTAATCCAGCAACCCATATTGACAATTGAACTCCTTGCAATTTACCACCAATAACAACAATAACAACAACAACAACAACAACAATAATGATAATAATAATAATAATAATAATAATAATAATAATAATAATAATAATAATAATAATAATAATAATAATAATAATAATAATAATAATTGAAATAATATTAATTAAAAAAGAAAATTATTTGACCAGTTATTCTAGCAAAAATCACCACAACCACCTTCACCACCACCACCATGATCATCATCATCATCAACATCATCATCATCATCATCATCATCATCACCACCACCACCACCACCACTAACACCACCAATATCATCATCATAATGATGAACACTAACATCATACTCACCATCATCATTATTATCTTTCTCTTGTTTTGTCTTTAATGTTTCTTCTTCTTTTACTTTTTCTTCTTGTCAAGTATAAACCACTTCCTTTACCAAAATATCAAAATATGTTTGAAACTATTTTTATTGTTTCATTTTATTATTATTATTTGTGTTGTTGTTGTTGTCAAACAGAATTCCAGTTTTTCAAATGAAACCAAAAACATTTACTTTGGTAATTCAGCTATAATTAATCAGTGTACTAAATCAAAAACTAAATTTGGCCGAGTACTACAATTTAATTTTGTAACTTTTTGCTTACTAATTAACTCTGCAGTAACCTATACTTAAAATAGCCATTATTAGGTCAATGGCGGCGGTATAAGTATTATGGGAAATAGAAAATGAAGTAGAGGTTTGAATTTAACAATAATTGTGCTTTATTGAGTCATTATTATTATTTGACCTATCTAGACCTAATGCAATTTTAACATTTGCTTAGTCCGGGATAGTAATTAAAGAGTATGTCTCAGGCACTGAATTTATCTTGGCATTGTACTTATTTATTTTACTTTCTGACAATTACATACATACCTCTACCCTTACCCCTACCCGTACCTCTACCCTTACCCCTACCCGTACCTCTACCTTTACCCATACCCCTTCACCCCTACCTTTTCCCTTTCCCCCACACTCTACCTTTACCTCTACACCTACCCTTACCTCTACCCTTCCACGTACCTCTACCCTTGTCCTTACCCCTACACTCCTATCTCTACTTACCTCTACCCTACAACCCTACCTAAACCCCCTTGCCTATACCCTTAACTCTACCCCTACACCCCTACCTCTACCCTTATCCCTACACTCCTATCTCTACCATACCCTCTACTCTACACTCTACCTCTACTCCCTTGCCTATACCCTTACCTTTACCCCTACACCCCTACCTCTACCCTTATCCCTACACTCAAACCTCTACCCTACACTCTACCCCTGACCCTTTGCCTACACCCCTACCCTTACTCTTACCTAACCCCTGCCTCCCTTAACCCCTACCTCTAAAATCTACTCTTACCCCTTCCCCAACACCTTCCTCTACTCTTACATCTACCCTTACCCTAACCTCTACACCCCTACTTCTCCCCTACCCCTATCTCTACCCCTACCCCTACAACCCTATCCCTACCTCTACCCATACATCTACCCTTACCAATACCCACACATCACTTCCTCTACAACTACCCATACCTTTACCCCTAACACCTATAACTTAACATTGTCTCAATGGGGCGTCCGTGGCCGAGTGGTTAAGGTCGTTGACTTCAAACCACTTGCCCGTCACCGCTGTTGGTTCGAATCCCGACAGGGACTTTGGATTCTTTTATGTGAGGAAGCTATCCAGCTAGCTTACGGAACGTCGGTGGTTCTACTCAGGTACCCGTTCGTGCCTGAAATAATGGACGGTCTTCCTCCACCAGTAAAGCTGGAACGTCGCGATATGCATTGTCTCAAAAAATAAATTGGATGTCAGTTAATCCCCTTAAAGGGACTCCACTGAAGTTTATCGACATGGCGAGATTGGAGATTAATATTCCATTTGATGTAGAGCTAGGCCAAAAACTTGTGTGCAAAATTTCATATCATTTGCTCTGTCCTTTTTTCCAGAATAATTATTCTAATGGTGAAAAAAATGGCCCAAAATTGAAAAGCGTTCCAACGCTTTTCGCTCAAATTGGGCTAAAATAGCACAAAAATACAATTTTCAATATATTTCTGACCATATTTCTTCATAATTTTTGAATATCTTTCTGTTTTAAGTGCCCCGGCTGATCTATGTAATATATTTAGGCTTTTGGACCTCAGTAGACAACATTTGACATATAGAACATAATTGAACTACGCAAACAATAAATACACATTATTTTAAACTACAAATGCCACTATAAACATCATAACTTAACAAAGATTTGGTAGTTCTATACATTTTTATAAATTCATGTAGCATACGTTGTTTGAAAAATTGTAAAAAAAAAAAAAACAATATAATAATTGAGAAAAAGTTAGGTTCCACCGAGATTTGAACTCGGATCGCAGGATTCAGAGTCCTGAGTGCTAACCATTACACCATGGAACCAGTTGTCCACCATGGATTTTATAAAATATATATTATAATTCATTTAAAATTTTAATTCAATATCAGCATATTGAATAAAATGAAATAATTCTGCATTATATTCCAAATAATACGTGTACCATATATCATATTCGCTAAAAAAAAGTATATAAGTGAAGAAAATAGAGAAATGTAAACAGAGTACTGCCGAACATTGACGGAAATTGCCGAAAGGTACATTATGCTATTTTTAGTTTTAATAGTAATTCCCGCTTACTATAAATAGATGGTAAACACAGGGCATAAATTCTCGTTATAAAATGTTTTAACTTTGTGATATTGTCGTTATTCTACAAAAATAATTTTTAATTCACAAATGTCTTGCTGTTTATGGTATTATTTAGAAGTAAACTTTCCAAATACAGGTAAAAATGAAGATACACAATTATGATCATTTTTATTTTCTGAAAATGTTCAACTGGTCCCGTGGTGTAATGGTTAGCACTCTGGACTTTGAATCCAGCGATCCGAGTTCAAATCTCGGCGGGACCTCGCTTTTTTTATCCATCCTTTTTTTTCGATTTTTATTATGATTATTTTAATGGTTCTATATTTTATCCTTTTTTATAATTTATTATTTTAACAAGTTATATTAAGATAACAAATAACCAAGTTATGGGAATACAGTCAATACACCATACATTG